GCTGGAGGCGAGACCCCGGGCGGCGGCGGCCTCCGCCTGGGTGCGCTTCCCCCGCTGTGTCCGCGGCGCTTCCACCTGCGGGTTTTCCGCGAAAAACTTGGGCTGTGGGTGGGAAGGCCCCCGTGGGCCGCTAGCGGGGGCGGTGGTGCCCCAGGCCTCTTCGGCGCCTTGCCGGGACCGCTCGGGGTGGGGTTGATGAAGTGTTTTTGGGCAGTGGGTGCAATGGTTGCAGTAGGACCACCCGTCGTCTGCTCAGCCCTTCCTCTGCCCCTCTCCTGTTTCAGTGGTAAAGCTTCTAGCAGTAACTTAATGACTTACATCCATCCCTATTTTTTTACTGCATGCTTAAGTCATGAATGTGGTAATAAACCTGTGATTAATAAAGACTGCTGTCTAGTGAAAGGTTTGAGGTAATCCTCATGATCACACGACTGAGAGTAAACACAGATCAGTGGGAAATGAAGTTGGTGTTTTGGCTTCATGTCTGAGATGCACTCCTGCAAATGACTAGTGCTGAGTTCTCCTGGAAGAAGCCTGCCAGCTGCAGAATAGCTGTTTCTCTCACATGAACCGCACTGTCTTCTAGAAGGGTGCTACTTAGTTGGATACCTTGGTATTCCAGCTTGGTCGTTAAGTCCAAGTCCAAAACTCTCGTCCGTTTCTGTTAGTCATTGGGAGGTATAGGCATCCAGGGTGTCGCAGAATAAAGCCTGTGTGCTGCAGGTCCCTGCTTGAGATCATAGTGAAGAAGCAACAGTTTTTGTTCCCATTCATTGATAGAAAACGACTTCCCTTCGATTTAAAATACACTTTGAAATTCTGTGGAAAAATGGTGAAAGTAAAATAAAGTTATGCCAATACCGACCCTGATACTGTTAAGATAACGCATCTCCAACTCCACAGTTCAAATCTGAAGGGCACGATTAGTTTCTCTTTTCCCACAGGGGCTGATACAGAGGCCTTTATTATAAGCAAGAGCAGCAGGTCAGAACAGTCAGCATGAGTTTCTGACAGTTGCTTGAATAATAGGCATTTATTTATAGCAAATACTGGAAGGATTGTATCTTGTGGAAAAGATAACCTAAATACTAATGTGGATGACAGTAAAGAGAGAAACAACTGCTGTTCCCCAACTTCCCTTCCCTTGAATTTGTAAATGTGGATTATTTGCATCTTTCATATAATTTGAACAGTTCCCATAACAATTTTTTTTTACTGTTTCCTCTTCTTAAAAGGTCATGTAAAGTGTAACAAGTGAAGCTACCAAGCACAGGAACGTGTAGCAATGCAGCGACTCAGCTCTGGTGTGGCATGACAGGAGTCTTTAACAAAACTGCTAATGTTAATTAACAATTTAGGAGGAAGGGAAGCTGAATGGTTGTTGAGAGATATTGTAGCTACTGGAAACAGACTGTAGTTCTCCTTTCTGATTTCTAACACCTGTTCTCCTGTTTGTCTGGGATCTTCACCTAACCATCTTTTTTTTTTTGTTTTGTTTTTTTGTTTTTTGTTTTTAACATGCTGTGTGTGCTGGTAGGTAGTATTCTTCTGGGCTGTGGCTCCTAGTCATAACTTAGATAGAGGTTTTGCCAGTGAAAGAGCTACCAAATGTCAGCCAGGCAATTTCTTATTCACTGAGTTTCTGATAAGGCATTATTTTATTTGCTTGGAGAATCTGAGTTGGTCACAGTAGTGGGGACTGGGCTATTGTTTTCAGGCCTGTTTGTTTTTCCTTGCAGTGCTGGAATGAACAAGGGCGCTTGGGTGGCCTGTCTTGATTTTGAAGGTTTTCTTTCAATCCGTGCTGCAGAAGATTTTAATACAGCAGTCTGGTGCATTTGCTTTACTCATTTTAAGTGTAGCTGTTCAGCATCAAGTTTTCTTTCTTTGTAGTGTGGATTTGATACTTCTGACACTTTCTAACTGCAGTCCAGAGAGCAGGCCGGTGGTCTAGAAAACTTCTGATAATAATAGGTGTCTGTAAAGAGGAAAGGCTGGAGCTTTAAAAAAAAAAAATAACTGAAGAAAGAGGAAAGGCTGGAGCTTTAAAAAAAAAATAACTGATGAAGTAAGCTTAATGAGATCTGGTGAATCTTAGCAGAAAGGATCCCAATCCTCAAAATGATAATACTTTCCTATGGTTTCTTCCTTTGAAAAACTGTTGTATTAGTCATTGTTCCTAGTGTTTGACTAAGCATTGCAAAGCTGCATTTGCTCTAGCTAAGAGCATAGTTTTTGAAAAAAAGGTTGAATGCAGGGTAGTAGAATTACAGTCCTTGGGATTGCAAAGTATACCATGCTCAATCCCATCTATGCCATAATTTAAGTTTACTCAGCAAATAAGTCTTGGGTTACTCCTAACAGGGATCTTGTTTATGACTGTTAACTAAGTTTTTAGTCATGTTTTGTACCAGTGTTTTTTAATGTACTTTGTGTTTTGAACCAAATTAAATGGCTAAATAATCACTTTCACACAGGGCAAACTCAGAAGATGAATCTCTTCCAATCCATAACAAGTGCCTTGGACAATGCTTTAGCCAAAGATCCGACTGCAGGTATACTATACATGTTAGTGTGTTTTGCTTTGTAGAAATTGCATTTTGTTTTACCTATTTGTGTACAGTATTTAAGGCATTTCTTGTGGCCTTTAAAGTTTTCTAATAAATTATTTCTACGTTTTGATCTCAAACAAAACTTAAAAATGTGTTGTATTAACAGATTATTAATGGATTATGTGATCTAAGGTGCAGTTGTGTCTTCTGTATTAGCTGGGTGTATTTTGCTTGAAAGTTGGGACAGAAAGATACATTGCTTAATGTGCTTCTGGTATTACTGATGTGAACTGTAGTTAAGGACAGTTTGAGTCCCACCAGTAAGTAAAGGAGTTTTTAAAATGTAAATCTTAGTTTTTAATTCCTTCAACTCTCTATGCTCAAAAAGTGATATTTTTTAGAGGCTATATATTCGTTGCTCTGTCCATTCTCCCTTCTCTCCTTCCCTGCCCTCCAAAATTCCTTTCCAGCTTTACTGATTTCTGTTCATTGTTGTGCATAGGCAATGTAAGATTTTCTAGGCTTTTGCAGTCTGGCTAACCTATAACTTTGAAGAAGCTAATTCATCATAGCTTGATTTAAAATTGATTTTATCCTAAACTCTTTTGCACAAAACTATTTATTCCACTTTTAATTCTTGTACATAACAGGAGGTCTGTTGCTTCTGTTGTCATAACAAAGGTGTGAAGATGGTCAGATATTTGAAAGAGATGTTTAATGTCATGAACACAGCTGCAAAAGCTGTATGATCTTGTGTAATTTTGGTTTTTCTTTTTTGTGTTAGTAACTTTTTGGCACTGCTTGAATTACTTGAAGTCTGACTAATCGTCTAATTTGTTAGGACAAATTCCATGTTGTCTGTCCAGTACTATGCCTGTATACATTCCCTCTCAATCTACAGCTGTGTTATAATCACCTTTTTTAAATTAAACTTAGACAACTGAGGGTAAATTAGTGCCAAGAACAGATTTTAGTGCCATTTCTGTAGAATCAGCCATATAAAAATAAGTAGAATGTTAGTCCAGTAGGAACCTGAACTCATATATAGTCTTCAGCCATTTAGTCGCTCTAAGGTTCCAGTCTTGCTCCTCAGTTTTGCAGGGCTGGATCTTTGCAAAGCCCTTTGCAAGACCATGTTGGAGTTCTACAGTCCAGACGTGTGAGTTGTCACTATCACTCTACTTACGGAATTAATTAGCACTTCTTGCAATAGAAAGCATGTCCTTCATATGTTTTTAGTTGTATGGGAATTGAGCAACTGTTGTTTAAGTAGTGGAAATCCTCATACTTGTGTTGTTGAGAATTAGAAGCTGTCCAGGAAAATATTTTCAGTGGCTGAACAGAACGAGTAAATCCACGCAAGTTTGCTGATACCAGCATTAAATGGGATTTTTTTGTGCCAGCTGGCTCAAAAGTGAGTAGCCATATGGTAATGGAAAGGCCTTACAAAGATTTTAAGTACATAAGAAAGCAAACAAATTAATATTAAAAATGAACTAGAGAGATGATCTTGGGGACATACTTCAACCATGTACTCCAAGACTGCATGGGTTTTACATTATTATACAGGTTATTTTTCTTTAAGTGCTGTCATTAATATGATTGTCAGAAGTGTGTTAATCCTTTTTAGTGCTTCCAATCAGAAATGTATTTTATTTAAATAAAAATAATATTTGAAAGGCAAGGAGGCTAACTCATTATCATATCTCATATCCTTTAGAATATGGAGAGTATTGAGGAATTTGGGAGTTATCAGAACTGACCCCCATTCATGCAAGCTGCTGTTGGTGATACTGCTGCACATCTCTTACATGCTTAAAAAAATTGAAATAGGCAATACTTATTTCTGTGAATTAAATAACAAAACTGTTTTAAGAGAAATTAGACGTCATCATTCCATAAATTCAAAGAAACACCGCCCCCCCAGACTAGTTGATATGAAGCTAATTTTTAAAGGCAATTACTTTTAGTGATAAAACTTTACTGGCTACATCACCCACACTGGATAGTAGTGGATAGTAGTGTTGAATACTGAGAGTTGTCCTGGTTATTAGATACCCATCTTTTCTGTAGAGGAGTTCCTCTGAAGTCACTCTTCAGGGATCTGGCAAGTATGTTTGGAGAAGGTTTGAAATTTCATGTTGGATTGGTATTTTGAAGAAAACTTCAATTTGACATTTTTCAAAACACTACATTTACTGAAATCTGTGGATAAAGAATGCCAATGGTTACCAGTTGAAGCAGAACACACAACTTCAGTGACTCTTTAGTGGTTGAATGTAATTGTTTCTTGGAATTGCTTTTATTCATTTAGATATAGATATTGTGATATTATAGAATATTTCAGAAAAATAAATAGATGGTTTAATGAAAGCATAGCTGAATCAGTTTCATGAATTCTGCTTTGAGACATAGTTGTGTTGCTGTACCGATTCCTCATTAACCTTGGTTCTTCATTTGTTATAGTTAGGCTGTGCATGAGAAACGCTTAGATAAATAAATGTCTAGATAAAGCTTGAAGTAAAATGAAATGTTAGGTGCTACTTATGTTAGTGTCTCATAAAAACCTTTGAAACACATTCATTAAAAATAAGATGCATTGGAGTAACATTAGCCTCCTCTACTTTATTATTTTTCAGTAGTATTTGGTGAAGATGTGGCCTTTGGTGGAGTCTTCAGGTGTACAGTTGGCTTGCGAGACAAATATGGTAAGTTAACTTTTAAATCTGACATTATTTTCGTATTAGCATCTCTTTTCTTTTGTACCCCTCTATGGTTTGTGGGAGAAGAGAAGTACACGTGGGAGAGAAGCCTTGTAAATGGACTTCTGTTTTCCTTTCTGTCCTTGGAAATAGAAAAATTTTGAACATTTTACCGTTTATGTAAGCTTTCAAAGCTTTCGAAACTTGCTGACATAATTTCAGGAGTCTTCTATTTCTTCAACTAACTTTATCAAAATAACTTCATTTTTTAAAACTGCAATTGGACCAGATATTCATCATGGTTCCCCCATTTAATTGCTGTAATCAAATTAAAGCCTCTTAGCAACAATACATGGTGATGCATTTTGGTCCTATCTGTCGGTCAAGAACTGTGAAGGAATTACATTAAAATGGATTTAAACTCTTTGTTAAATATAGTATTTTCTAGCATGGCCTGGAAAGCCAATATAGAAATGGTGTGTTATGGCTATGCTTGTGCTTCATCTAGAATGCGATTGGTTTACTTATTTGGGAGACTCATGTGAAGGCATTCAGAGGAATGGTACAACCTTTGTCTCAAAGAATCTTAGAAGTAGCCTTTATCACTAGATAGGAAAAACAGGTTTGCAAAAGTATATGAAAAATACGATGGTACTTGATAATCTCGTACCTCAGACAGTTGAGGTGAGTTCAGTGGACAAGGAAAAATAGTTACTTGAAGGAACTTTTTAATTTTTATTGAAAACTTATTTTTTAAGTAAGTTTTAAATAGGGAATTTCTTTTAAACTTGCAGGAGCTTTTAAAAATGTCTTGTGTGATCTGTGATTTAAATTAACCCGTATATTGTGTTTATTTTGGAAGAAACGTAGTTCTACTATTTCTGGGGGACAGACTCCTACAGCTGAGTATCAATGGCTTCTAAGAAAGGTGGGGGAAGGAAAAGACTTTCTTTCAGACCGTATGTTGTTGCACAAGCATGTGTGTCATGTTCACAGTTCTTGATGGATAGAATTTAGCCACCTAGTTAGTGATACCTGGTTGGAAAATCTGGATGGCTTTTCAAAGTCCTTCACTGTTCTTCCAATTAAGTTTCTTCTTTGGTTATCCATTTGGTGTCGTTTCATTAAGTACCCATTTTGCTGTGAGAAGTACTGTTACTGGAATGCTAAAAAAAGAATCAATGTTTCCACGTATGGCAGGCTAGGTAGTACATAGCAGTTTACAGGTCTTGGAAACTGGTTGTGGATACAGTAACCTGATAGCTTTTAATTTGGCAGTTGCTGTCTCCCCCACTGGGCTATTAAACAGAATAAGAGGTTATAAAATGTTAAGTTTCAGCAGCTTACTTTCTTCAAGGCACCAGGATGACTGGGACCACTTGCAGCCAGTGATTAAATCTACTTCATTTTCCTCATCTGGAGGAGATGAGTTACTGCCATCTTGGAGGAGATCACCAAGATCCACTTTTTTGGAGTGAACCAAAAAAGGGAGAGGAAGACTATACTTTTAAGAAGTTTTAGAAACATAACCATATTTTGTTGTCTTGTTTCTCTGCTTCAATTATTATGTGGATGTCTTCTCACTCTCTGGTTTATACATTAATGTTCAAATAGTTTGGATAGGACTTTTATTAGCAATGATCTTTAGTGCTGCATGTTGAGGTTGAGTTAGAGTGCTCTGGTGTGATATGTTAACTCTGTTTACTAGACTTCATGTGAAAATGAAGCCTCTGAGACAGCAGTCTGTTGCTGGAAACATGGGCAACAGAAGACTTCATTTGGGAAATAAGCAACAGCAGCAGATGGCTCCATAAGCAACCTTCTTGTTTTTTAGTGAACATCTCCAGTTTAAAAGACAAAAGGAGCAAATTTTATATTGTTAGGGTGTTGCTTTGACAGTCACTTGTTGGTTTTCTTTGATGTAAGAAAGTCATGTAATATTGGAATGAAGGAAAGGCATTATTTAATTCTTGTAGTAGCATTTTATTGATGGTGTATTCAGAAGTGCCAGTGCTGTTCAAAGACTCTGTGATAGCCCCTGCCCCACAGTGCAGGGGTACTGCTGAGGTGGGTACTGATGAGGGGGTGCAAAGAACTATTTACACTGTGTTAGTCAGTATGATAAGCAGCAGTCACAGCACATCAGCAGCCTAGCTAGAACCAGATGTATTTTATGGGTATAACAACAAAGATTTTTAATGAGATTTTTGAGGAAGATATGACGTGACTTTGGGAATGTTTGAAAAGAGCTCCTTTAAAGCATGAGAGGCAACATGAGAAATTGTGGAAGTACTTGTATGAACATTGAACAAGGGCTAATGAAAGCTAGTATTGCCATTTGATCAAAAAGGGTACTGACATCTTTATGGTGAATAAGAGGATAGATTTGATAAGGAAAAACTAAGTAGTGCTCTTGTTTCATGTGATTGTAAAATAAAATGGGTGGGTACATAAAGTGCTGGTGAGATCAAATTAACAAGGTAGGAAACTCTCCACATTCATTCAGAGCGTTGCAAAGATTGCATTTGCTAGAGGAAAAGTGTGTTAGCTGGAAGAGAAGGAGAAATTTGAAAAGCTTTTTGCTGTTTTCCTGCTTAAAAAACCGCCAAGTTTGTCTTACAGATTCATTATAGAAAGATCTTCCTAAGATCCATTTATCTTGCAGATTCTGAGATTTAGGTCTAGGTGAGAAGTGAACTGAAGATGTTGATAGTGATTGAGAGAGAAGAGGGTGGAGAAGGTTTGACAGGAAAAATAAATGAGTTCTTCATGCTGCTGCTGAGGTGCCTTTAAGTAAATGAAGGCAATATCTGAAATACGAGTTTGGGCAGAAAGAGAAGTCTGAAGATAAAAGGTGAATTTAGGAGTCATTCACATAATGATAATTCAACCTTGTAAGGCGGTTAAGATAATACAGGTAACTTCTGGCTTCTTTCTTCACTAATAGTGAAATCCTATAGAAAACAGGCAGTGGCTGAAGAGGGAACGGCAAAGATGAACTACAGGACGTACTGAAAATACAGTTACAATGCTGAGGAGAACCAGGAACGACTGAAAGCGCAAAAATTGAAGGAATCCAAAATTTTGAGAGGGGTGTGGCTGTCTGTCAGTGTTGTCTTGGAGATTAAATAAGTTCTGGATGCTCTGCTTGTTTTATGCGAAGGCTAGAGTCCATGTAAAACAAGGAGGAATCCCAGACAGAATCAGCGAACAAGCATCCTCATGGATCTTACCTGTACAAGGAAGATTACATTCACTTACTGACTCTTCTTTCCCCATTGCCCTCCTACATTTACCATCAACATAATAATAAGAGCTACAAGTGATATAATGTGAGGTTGTTTCTATATGTTGATGTAAAATATGAAGGAATGAATGTGTTTTTTCTCCTCTCCTGGAAGAGGGAGGTTGTTTGTTTTTTTCTTTGTCTGGTTTATTTTTTTTCCATAGATAATCAAAATCACTAGGTGGCAGTCTATGCCTATAACTAGTTATTTTCATACAAATTGATAGTTCCTTTTTAAGCACTTTTATAGAGGTCAAGGTCTAAATATCACCTGATAATATAGTAGGATATACTCAGTAGTAGTACTATACAGATGCTGGTTGCTATCCAGACTGTTACTGAAGTCTCTCTGGAGAGAAGGAGAAGAAATTTGCTTTTAGAATAAACGTGTCATCAAATCTAAAACCTTTTTTTGCCAGGAAAGCCATTTAAGCCTGAGTGTAGAGTAATGTTGTAATACAAACACAGCTAGAGGCCTATACTAGTAAGTGAAAGAAGTCAAGCTCATTGACTTTGTAAGGAAATAAAACCTAATTTTTGATTGGATGAATTTTTGACATGCTACAAAATTTTGTTTGAAAATTTTTAATTGAGGAATCATATGTAAAAAAGTCAGTATGTGGAAGTTTCTTTTCCATGATAGCTATGACTTAGGATGGTATGTTTGTTTCTATACATCTTACGTCAACATCTGAAATAGGCGATTCCAGTTTTCTGGCATTGCTTTGCTGCTCATGATTCTGTATTGGTGTTAGTAAGTTTTGCATGAACTGAATGCTTAGAAATCTGTTGCTGTATAATCCTCTGCCCTGCAAATGAGGAGACTCCCTGAAATTTTTATGTAGAGAGTTCCTTCTAGATAAAGGAAGTGAAATAAGTCTTGTACAGTTTTTTTTCCTTTGTCCCCTCCCTCTGGTCTTGCACAGTGGAAGGCATCTTCTTGTTTTATTTCTTGTCTCTTTCCCTATCACCCCTTGCCAGTTTTTTGACTGTCACCATTTTGCAGAGGTTGCATACTCTAACCTCTAGAGTATCTTTATTGAAGTAATGAATGTCTGCTGTTCCATAGTCCTGCTGTCTGGAGATGTTTCCTGTCTCTAAAGCAAAGATGTAAACTGCATGATTGATAGCCTTCTTCCTTGACTGCTGTATTTTTGTAGCCTAGGTAATGTGTGCAAATGTTATTTTTTTATTTAAAAGGGAAGTACATTATTATTTTGGTCTTTTGAAGAAAACGCTATCTGAATGAAATAGCTGTACATTTGTCTTTGTGTCTGCAGATGGATTTGAAACAATGATCCTGGAGTGTGAATACATGTGTCCTATAGCTCTGCCTGAAGTGTGACATAAAGTTGCAGCATGTAAAGATCAGTATCATCCACATGACAAAAATACAGAGACAATCAGAGGTAGGGATTAGATGACAGGAGGTAAAGAAATGGGAGGAAAAAACAGAGAGTAAGGTAAAAATAGAGAAAGTGGACAGAAGTAAAGACTGAGAAACAAGAATAGCAGAAATAGTGATTGGCAAGGAGGGCTACTCAGAAGAATGCCAGAGCAGGGTTTTTTTTTCTGGGTAACTCCAAAAAAAGACCCTTCTAGCCTACTGTGGCCAAAAATGAAGATTTTGAGAGTCTATAAACAGGGGAAGTGAAGTATATATAATACTTGAATACTCTCTCTGCCGTCCTCCAAACACTTACGGCTTGAGGGCTTCCTT